TTTTATGATTAAAGTAATTGTATAACTAATTAAGTCTAATTACTACTTATTGTGTAAAGTTTAAGCTAATATTCACTTGTCGTTTCTTTAAGTTTAATCTTGTTCATAATTTCAGTAAAACTATAGTGATTTAATTCCTTATTTTGTTGATTTTTGTAAAATGGTCGGGGAGAGTGTCATAACTTGAGTTTTTGGGTGTTACTTTCGGTTGACTGGCAACACTCTCTCTTGCCATCTCTGCGTTTAACGTGTAACAACGTCTTCCGGAATTAAAGTGAATATTAATTAATTATTCATCTTTTATTACAAAGTATAACACTACCAAACACTGTGAATGCCTTTGGTTATCGCCTCGTAACTTATGGCTAAGCGTAAATTAATACTTTTATTTCACACTAATATAGTTTTTATGTGAGACGGTGGCAAGCGTGCTAGCGATTCACCTGATGTTAAGTGATAACCGCCGCCCATTGGCATTTGCTCACTTAGGGTTGCAGATGCGTTGTAAACGTTTAAAATAAAACTACCATAGTAAAATGTTTAGTTAAATATGGATTGGATTAATGGTTAAATTATGTTATCTTGTTTAGCAATTAATAACTTACTGCATTGACTAGTAACACAATACCTTCCAAAGACATGCAACTGGAATTTTTAATGCACTTAATGAATCTATTTTTATTCCTTCCACAAATCTATTCATTCCTTTATTCGTTATAGGATGGTGGACAAAATGATTGTAATTAAATGTGCACTATTTTGTTGTAATCGTACATTTATGATAAATCAACAACATGATTATATGTACACACTCAAAAACGTGTAGTTGAATAAATGATTAAAAATATCTATGTTAACGGTTGAACAATTTACCTTAAAGTTAAGCCAATCAAACCTGGGTCGAACTCGATTTAAAAACAATCCCTACTAATATTATGAATGTAGGTTTGTTTTACACTTTTACGCCAAAACTATTCAACCGATTACCACTTCGTAAAACTTATATGGATAAAATAAGTTCAAAGTTGTTAATATTTTTAGTAACATACATCCTACATTTTACTTGGAGTCGTGTATTAAAACAAACGATCTGTATTTTAATGTAAAATTAACTTTTGTTTTTTTTTTTAGATATTAACAAAACTCCAATATAAAATCTAAACAAACAAATATTTAAAGAGTATGTATGCAAAGCAGCGCTAAAGTCAAAAAAAGATAAATACTCCGACCCGAAATTATGTTGACAAAATTATAAAGTTCTGTTTGTTCAGAAATGAAGCGAAATCGTCCTTATTATTATTGTGGAAAATATTGCGAAAACATGTTATGTGGATTACAGACTTCTCAAAAAAGTCAGATTGTTACAGTGAATATCCCTATCATTCAACAGATTGTTTTCAGAGTTTCGTCAGCAATTAAATACTGTAATAAGCTGAGAAAATGCAAAATGATTGTTAAAAATTTTAGGAAATTACTTAATATTAAACGCTAAGCAGTATTTAGATAGCAATGACCAAGAACAACGTAGGAAAAGACCGTAAAGAGACCGCGGTCACTAGTGGGCATCTTGCGATTGAGGAGATGCCGAGTAACTTAGATATGGTGGTTACATGGATTGGTCTCGTGTTTTTAGTTATGTTCTGTTGATGAAATAAATTTTTAAGAAATTGAGATCTTTATTTATGTTTCGATGACTCCGTGGCGCAGTTGTCAGGGTATTGGATTCGGCGTCAGGCTTTATGGGTTCGATTCCCACACGGGACAACTATTTGTGTGACCCGCAGATAGTGGTTTCGCATCTGGGTGTTTATCCGCGTAAAATTTATGTTTGTAAAACATCCTTACAACTCAAGATAATATTATCCCAAAGTAAGGGCAATGTTTAAAAAAAATAAAACAAAAAAACTTCCATATTACTGATCTAATAAGGGTCGATAAAAAATACAATTGTATTATTGGACTGAAAACTTTTAAAAACTGTGCCTTATACGTATAAGTTCTTTTGGAGCACTTGTAAAAATTATGTGTAAAATTCGATGTGCTCGCACACCGACTGGCAAAAAGCGACATCATGCTTGGTATCCAATTTAATTCTGGGTAAAGTAGGAAGAAAAATGTTTGGTTTCGCGTGATCGCGATAATGTCATCGCCAATGGTCGGCCACGCACGCTGCTCTATTGTAAAGCAAGATACAACCCATTCTTCTCTATCATTTTCGTAAAGAATTGCTGCAATTTAACTTGTAATCTTATCACGTACAAAAGACCCGTCTTAGCACAAATAATAAATTATTATTACAATAAAGGAAAATGGTAAAATATGGGGTTATTTTTACTTTTCCTTTTCCTACGATTCTAATATTCTTTATATTCAATAACACAATCAATAACATTCAATAACTTTATAAACAAGATTTATCATTTGCGCTGGCTAAAAATAAATAGGTGCAACATTTCAAAGAACGTCCTTAATTTAACTTTTACAACTTTACATTTTATGTTTCACATATTTAAAACTATCCTAAGTAAATAAGTGACTAGTGCCCATTCTGCTTTGATTATAACTTTACCTATATTGTATAGTCATCAGCATCACATTTTTGCCCTTTCATGAGACTCACGAACACTTTTTCCGACTCCCAAATATAAATTTCAAAGGCATTTCTGCCAGATGTTGCTTCAAATTTATTTTTACCTTTATTCTTCCTTCGTAAAAATTTTACGTTAAAAATTCCGCGCAGCAAGATTAGTTTTCGATTATTCCATTGTTAGTTTTCGACTTTTCTGTATAAATTTCAGTCTTAGACCCTAAAGGCGACTGATATACGACGCTTAGACGCTTTCGAGTCGTGGTGCTTGCAGCGAATGTTACGGATACTGTGGCTAGTCTACGCAGGGCCAATGTCTGAGGAGCTTACCCGAAGACTGGCAGCAAACAGTCCAGGGGTTGAAGCCGAAAGATGGTCCCGTTAGGTGTCAGAACATCAAATAAATTGACGCCGGGATCATCACGATTCTCAGACTCAGGAATGGCTCAAAGAGGAGGGATTTCATTCAAAATTTTCTATCCATGCTCTTCATGTTATAACAAATAAAAAGATCATTATATGTGTGTATTATTTATATGTTTGTTGTTCACAAAACACGGGTTGCAAAATAATTAAAAATGTAAGTGATCTACAAAAGGTAAGCTTATTTCAATGCATGAGAAAATCTGTGATTGGAGGTAGCTGGAAATGTACGTTATATTACTTAGTTTAATCAAATATTTACTGAAAGTTAGAGTTCGTAACGAATACACTTGTGTTGGCAACACTAAAGGAAGTCGTTCCTTGAGGTTGTTGGTAACACTAAAAGAAGTGTCATGCTGTGAGGTATAAATGAAGCTGCAAGAAGCATTTCATGGTCTTCGTCGTAGTCGTCGTCTTCTTTGGCTGTCAAACCAGAAGTATACACGATAGTGCTACCCAATCGGTAAAATAAATTAAATCGTTAGAGTGGTCTTTCATTAGTGATATTAAAGTGATAAAATAAGTAATTATACCAGTGTTATTGTTGTGCAAAGTGAAACTACGGTGATTTGGTAAAAGTATTTATATTTCTACCTTCTTAGCTCGATAAAACAAAGTATAGCTAACACTTGTTAACATATCATCACTGTTTAACATAAGTATTTTGATTCGGAGATACCTACTATAAAGATTGATATATTATTATGCATTTAAAGTGTCAGTCTATACAAGTCCCATCGCTGGGCAAAGGCCTCCTCTGTACAGATGGTATCAGGACACAGTCCACCGCGTGGCCCCACTGTGGTTTGTCGGACTTCACATATCTTAGAAAATATGCCGGTTTCCTCGCGATTTTTTCCTTCACCGCCGAGTTCATGATAATTCAGCACTTAAAATTAACAATTTCACTGGTACCGGCACCGGTGATCGAACTCAGGTAGCTCGAGTATATTGAATTAAAGGCGAGCGCTAGAACATTGAGTTACAACTCTCTGAGTTACAGCTCGAGCTCGAATTTAGACAGGAAGAGAGGGAGGAAACAATACTACCATTAATAAGTAAACTACGTCGTCATCTTCTTAATAAAAAAATTGAATGTTGGTAAGCGCATGGCTGGAACAATTCTGCTAATTTGTTTTTTTGTATGTTCCTTAAGGTCCACGGAAGGTTTTAATACTAAAAAAAAAGAACGAAGTCTGTCCGGGCAGCTAGTACATAAATAAAATACGTCAAGTTGGTAATGTATTAATTTAATGAAAGAACACGTACATAGGGAAAGTAACTTAAAATATTTGTGAACTTAGATCACTTCAAAGTACAGCACAATTTATATTTATTACTGAATTTCAATCAAAATTATTTTTCCTGCATTTGTGTAAATAATGTATAAAAGCTGTAGGATCCCTTTATAATCTGGAAATAACGGACGTTTCAATTAGGTTAGATATAAGATAAAGTCATTGTTTAAATTGTTCGCAAAGCTCAACTAAAATCTTTACTCGAGTCCTACATATATCTGAACAAATAAGAGAGTCCAGCGTTGACCTAAAGCAGCAGTTGAAAGCTATTGACCAATCTCCTCTGTTGAATAACAAGCTTTTCATCATGTAAACATGCAAACGTGTGCAATTGTTTACTTTGTCTATCAATAGCTATTAATAATAATATTAGCTATAAATAATAAGCCAGAATCTTGCTCCAACTCGCTCAGGTGTTGCGTGACAACAGGGGCAATAAAATATACACTTCAACACACATGGGCATTTATAATGTAAAAGCGGTTAGCACATCTCATGTATTATATATGTATTAGGATCAATTTTGAGCGCATAAGAACGTGTTTCGCTTTTGAACTTGAAAATGCACGACTTCAGACTCAACTGCGTTCTAAATTTATTGACAACGGTAGGCGAAACGATGTTTGTTTACACATAACGAAATTTCGTAATATTATAGCGTTATTTAGGTTTATGAACAATTCAATATGTTATATTCGCATAGTAATACGTACATCTACAAACGTCGGGATCGATAGAGCTGTGAACGGCCCCGCGTTCATTATGAGCGGTCGGGCCAATTTCCCCGAGAGTAAAAGTAGCTGTTTCCGCAGAAACAAATCTGCCTTCCACCAATTGCTCTCGAACACACCTCGATCTGCCCGATCACTCTGTTATGTGGTTTCTTTTTGTTTTACTTCCAAAAATAACTTTTTAACAAATCATCCTTACTAATAATATAAAGTCGAAAGTTTGGATGGATGGATGTTTGTTATTCTTTTACGCAAATACTACTGAATGGATTTTAATGAAATTTTACAATAATATAGCTTATACATCAGAATAAGATATAGACTATAATTTGTATACATATTTTATGTATATCTGTCTTTCTGTCTGAATGTTATGCCTTTAGCCTATTATACGCAGACGTAGTTGCGGACAGCAGCTAGACCTTAAACACACTTAAACATTAATGACTTAATTTTGACCGTGGTAGGGCCACTTAACAGTCTGCATTCTATTGCACGAATGGGCAGGGCCGTCCGGGTAAGCACCAATACTTCACAAAAGATTGGCGTGAAGTGGAAGTGTTACACTTCTACGCTTCGTCTGGTGAGTGAAATAGCCGGGGCCCACAGTATTGAAAGATGGCAACATTTATGCAACCCTACGGGTGTTGCGAATGTAAATGGGCGGCGGTTATCACTTATAAGGTGAATGGCCTTCTTCTCTCATTACAAAAGATATTCATCATGGTCCAGAGTATTTATTAGGAGATGTGGTAATGAATGATACTAAAACACAGTAAAGGTGCATACATAGGCACTATTTATTATTTCATCCAAACGGTAGAAATGGGAGCTCCCATACCATGGGACATGATTTTTTTGCCGTTTATATTGTATACGGAATCGTTCGTGCGCGAGATCGACTCGCACTTGGCCATTTTTTAAAATACAACTGATTCTAACGCTAACAACTTTCATAACACAATTAAAATTTTGTTACATTCAGAAAATAATACGGAAGTATGTTACCTCTACAGCAATTTCATTGCTGTGCCAGCAGTATAAAAAAAGTTGTATAGCCAGAGTGGATGCGTATTCCAGAACCCAAAGTTTCTGAGTGGTTGACACATTATCCTGGAATAAATAAATTCAATGATTAAATAATAAAATAAAGCAATTAAAACACCACGACCTCACAAAAGACAGGCGTAGAGTGGAAGTATAATACTTTCGCGTTTCGTTCTGGTGAGTGAGGTGGCTGGAGACCAATTTTTCAAAAGGATGTCAATGCATCTGGAACCCTTGGGTGTAGCAGATGTCCTTGGGCGGCGGTATTCACTGAACATTAGGGGAGCCGTCTATTCGCTTGGGAATTTTTCACATTAAAAAAAATACTCAAAATCATCATTGTGAAAGAGTGGTACTTAGTTAACAGATTACTCAAAATACTCACCAGACTCAGCTGTATAACTGTGCAACAAATTCCGATAGAGCACACGAGTACATAAATAAACATGACAGGAGATATCAGGGTATTAAATCTTTTATATTGCCTGTGAAACAAAATAAACTATATTATTTCATTACAAAAATTATACCAATACGAATTTGAATAAAAATAAAAATGAAAATGATGGCACTCATACTGAGATCGTTTCTTTGTCTGGTACAACTACATTAATTAAATCACACTTCGGTAAATTTTATTTATAGAAATAAATATGAAAACTTTTACGTCGCTGATAATTTCAACTTAATAGTAAAATTAGGTTACTGGTAAAACCTTTTTATAATTAAGAATATGGCTCTATAACAAATTTTGAGGTACAAAAAGAAAGTTATAATACTTTTTATTGTAAATTATTTTGTTAAGCATAAACGATATATATAATTATATATACAAACAAATATTTATATTCTTATGTTCCTTAATAAAAGATATTGAAGTAAATAAATAAACATTGTAAACAAACTAAATAAAAGCGAAAAGTAGGAATTGCTTTCGAGCCTACAAAAAATGAAAGAGAGTTTGTTACAGATAAAGGTATTATATTATTACTTACGTCAATAGAAAAGTGTGATGACGGTGACACTCCTTGATCCTTTTTAATACTTCCATTTTTGATAGAACTGTTTCTTCCTCTCCGAATACCCGTCTACATTTTTCTCTAAGAATTACAAAGTGACCTTTAAGAAAGGTCATTACTGCAACTGCGAAGGTATCGTATACTGCAACAACTCCTGCACCTTGCGTTATCATTATGACATGGATACCGCTGGCCCAAACATATCCCGGCATCTCTGCATTATTGAAAGGAAACCATGAACTCAAAATCTCAGGATATGGTTCAGTACCATTATTGACCTTTTCCCTGTAGCATGAAGCCGTGCCATATTTTACGAACGGTAAAGTAATGGTGACAATTTGCGTAATTAATATAACACACCAATAGGAATTTGTTATAACTCTCGTGTAAAAGGTATAATTACATATTAACTGTAATATATTTTGTTCCTCTTTTTTGATCATGGTTATCTCTTCTTTTGATATGGAATTTATCAGCAGCTTAAAGCGGGATTGAAACAAAAGAAACGATATCGTCTTACTGACGGAAACCGTGCTTAAAGCTGTGACAGAGAAATTCAAAAGAGCCTTTTTATAATCATTCCTCGTTAGATACAACTCTATAAATTGGCTGACAACAAATATTACGGAAGTAAAGTGTAATAATTTAAAGAAATATCTGATGTATATACTTTCGTTTTGTAATAAGCCGAACATATAAAGACCTTTTAAGTTCGGACCTAATAACGGGTGTTTGTAATTTTCAATATGTTTAGTGGCTTTAGAAATAAAATTTGAAATCATACTTAATATTCTAAATTAAAAGAACTATGATGTGCCTTAACCGGTAAACTCTTTTATACCTAGCCATTTCAGTTTTTCTACAAAAGGACGATGTGACCAACAGTGAATCAAGCACAGTATTAAATTTATTTTTTACTTTCTCAAAATCTGTGTAGTCTGAAGCCACAATATTTTATTCTTATATTATTACGTTCGTTTTGTAATAAGCCGTGATAGCTCAGTGTCCGGGCGCTCGCCTTTAATTCAATATACTCGAGCAACCTGAGTTCGATCCCCGGTGTCGGCACCAATGAAATTGTCAATTTTAAGTGCTGAATTATCACGTGCTCAACGGTGAAGGAAAACATCGTGAGGAAACCTGCATATTTTCGAAATAATAACAAAAAAAACAAATATTTCGAAGAAATGTGAAGTCCACCAATCCGCAGTGGGGCCGCGTGGTGGACTATGCCCTGATACCCTCTGTATAGAGGAGGCCTTTGCCCAGCAGTGGGACATGTATAGGCTGATGCTTTACTTTTTTTTAAGTTCACTCCGAGGTTAATCGGCGAATTTAAATCGGATGGGCAGCGTTTGGGACACTTCGGCATATCTTCTCTTCTAAATCCCTCAATGTTTGAAGATTAAAGTCTCCAATCAATGTGTCGGCGATGACCTACGGAACTCAGACTTGGTCCTTCACTGGCGGGAGTTAAGCAACTTTGAGGAAGCTCCAAGTTGCACAGCTCCGGAGCCTGCTATGCTCGGTATTTCTTTACGTGATAGAATTCGCAACGAAGTAGAAAAATAATTGAAATGGATAGCGGCTTAGTAAGGTGAAGTGGCAATGGGCCGACCATACGTCTCGAAAAACCGAAGATAGTTTCTCGATTGTTATCTTAACCCCACCTCGTTGTAAAAAATCAAATCATCGGTGATTATTGAATCTTAAGTTGAGATAAGGATGTATGTAATTTAACATATATCTTTTATATATACGTATCTAATCTTGATAAATATAAATTATGCCTTTAAATAGCACCACTAAATGGCACCACCGATCCATTGCAAAGGTATGACATATTAAATCGTATAATTTTCGTATTCAATACTTAGGACAACCCTATTGATATCAATGATAATCCATCAATTACCAAATAACAACTTTAAACCGTTTCAACCTTTTTATAATTTTATCATTAATATATAAAATTTATTTGCGTTAAAATATATTTTGGTACATTGGTATATTCATATTCGAAAATTATATAATATACATATTTTGATTAAAATAACGCCATTAGAATGAATAGTGCCATTCTATTTAAAATTAATTATTATACGTCTTCACTGCTAAATAGCTCGTTTACTTTTCAGTGGCACTTTGCATTCTGAAAAATTACCATAATTATCGTTTCGCGCACCACTGAATTAATTTTTATGGGAAATGTATGGCATATAATTTTCTAAACTCATTAAGTGAACTGCATTGTCTTTTTCTTTTCAATTAATCTTTACGCTAATTTATTTCATATATAGTACTTCGGAATTAAATAAAAACTGTTTTATAACTAAGACAGAACTTCACATAACGTCAGTTCATTTAATAACTAACTATTCTAGTATAAAAAAATATCTCTCCAATTTGAATAATTCTATTTAATTTATTGTTAAGATATTTATTTATTCGTTATTAATAAAGGTAATTAAACAAAAGTGCATTTATTTAATTTATTTATTCTAATGACAGTGATCGTAATTGTTACAAATCTCTGTTTCTGTACCTACAATACAACTCCTGTGCCAAAATATTATTTGTAACTACTACAGCCTTTCGTTTTTTTGATGTCTAAATTTAACAGGAGCTTATGAGCTTTGAGAGTAGACGCGTTCTTTGCACTCTGCACAGGTGAAATATACACTTGTGATTCAGTGTCTTTGGTGTAATTGAATTAAAAGGCTTTTTTAAATAATAAATAAGAATTCATTGCTAAAGCACACTATAGTTAATTCAAGAAAAAAGCTTATATATCTTTATATATCTTTTTTTAGGCTTTTCGATAAAGAAAGGACTTTGCTGAAGAAAGGCTAAATAAGTTGAGACTGTACTGTTCAAAAATGTAAGTAATTTTGTTTGATTAATTATAATTTTATCCGTGTTTTCAGCAATGAAAAACTTTGTTTTATGTGAAAAGTTGCGAAATGAGCAGACGGTTCACCTGATGTTATGTGAATACCACCGCTCATGGACATCTGCTACACCCGAGGGTTGCAGATGCGTCGACAACCTTTTGAAAATTGGGCCCCGGCCACCTCACTCACCAGGCGAAACGCGAAAGTATTATACTTCCACTTTACGCCGGTCTTCTGTGAGGTCGTGGTACTTACCCGTGGTACGAGCCTGCCCATTCGTGCAACAGCCGAGGTTGCTGCGTGGCCCTACCACCGAAACTGCTACAATATCATTAGAATGCGAATGTTATAATAGCTCGGGTGGGAAATCGGGCGGTGCCAAAACCAGAAACCCCGGTTTGAGTCTAGATGACATTTTTCAACAAGAAGGAACTTAAAAAAAAAGAAAAAAAAAAAAACCGAGCAATGCTCAGTCATCCAGGTACTTAACTCTTTGTTATTAACATTTATTTAAAAAAAATGTTTTTTTTCTGTTATTAGTTTTTTAGATACTGTTTCTACAGTGAGACATTCATTCGGATACTATGAGAAAAGAAAATTTAAAGAGAGACAAACACGGATAATGAACTACATGTTTTTATTAGTTTTTTATAGTGATAGTTCGATGATACTGACATAAAGAAACAAACGAAGATTCGGACGCAACAAAAAAATATAACAAAAGAAATCAAAAGTATCGCTCATAAAACGTGATCAATGTTCTACTCTCGATTCCATAAAATGGTTATTGCCAATGTCATTAACTTTATATATCTTGTTGACGTGTGAGGAAACAACTGGGACCAAGTTATTTATTGCGTGTATTGCCTACAAATATATTTTTGATCTTATTGAATGTAAGTTCAATAAGCACGAGTTAACTAACTTACAATAAAATTGGTAGTAAAATTGTACTTTGTTATATACAAAAAAAAACCTGGTTAAAAGTATTTTATCAATTTAGGGCTGTCTTAAGGACTTAACATCATGAAAAAATACCGCCAAAATAACAAACGGTTGTCAGAGAAACACTGGGAAGAAACTCTGAGGTAAAAACCAATTATAAATTTTTAAATTTATAGAATACAGTTCTAGAACAAAATTAACAGCAGCTAAGGTAGTACACGCAGGACATGCAAGAGTAATTTCTAAACTCATCTGTTTAATATTCAACACTAAAACATTTCAATCGGTATCTTTAAATAAACATCATTTGAGTATTGTTGTAAAATTATCTCAACAAACTGTTCCGGATTTTGATATTAATTAAAGTAAAACTTTTTTTTTAGATTTTATAGAAGCTTTTTTGGTTTAGTTTTTTGGTTACCACCTGACATCTACTTTTTAGGATAAAAATGGTTATGATCCGTAAGGCATTTAGATCAACCGAGGTAGCCCTTGGGTTAAGGTTAAGCGATGGCCCGATTCGATCTCCGACAAAAGCAATGGTCCCGGGTTCCCGTCTTGTCGTGGCCGGGCTTAGCAACCGTTGCTTGCTCACCAACGGTGCAGCTAACTGGAAACTACAATGGCCACCCAGGCTGGCTTGTATAGTAAGAGAGGCCAGAGAGGGCCGCTCCGAGTGGGCTCATTTATCCTCGGGATTCATATTTGGACTGGGCGAAACAGGTCCAGAGTGGTAGAGGTCTCTGTCCACTGCAACCGAGGTGAAGACAAGGGGGGAGAGGGGGTGGGTATTGCGGTTATCCCTCCGAGGCCGAAACTTAGTGAGAGGCGGAGTCAACGACTCCGTCCGCCGCTGGGGCCTAGGTGGCTTATTAGCATTGGCTCTCTTGGCTGCTATGACCTTGGCTAATAAACTTGGAGGAGCGCGTTGGCCGCTTAAAAAGGGCCAAGTAGGAAGGCGTGCTGAATGTTCCATTCGTGGGGAATTTAGTCGGTGCGAGTTCGAAATTACCAGTCCTTTATTTTACCGGCGGTTATGGGTGGGTATTTCCCCTAAGTTAATAAAAAAAGGTGAAGCAATGGGGAATAAGGCAGTTCACCTGAGGTTAAATGATAATGTCCATGCACGATTGCAAAACCGTATAAAAGAATTGTGCCAACATAAGGCACCGTAAGCAGTACAAAAAGGGTTATTAAATCTTATAAAACAATAGAATACATTCTGTTGGGCCAATATATTCAAAACATGTTCGACGACACAACGATAGAAAAAAAAAAATTAAATAACCTTTAGATGTGAAAGTTAATTCCAAAAATGTACATTATAAATGAACAAATCTTAATAAAAACTGTAATCAGTGGTGTCAAATATTTTAATAATAATAGGGGTTATTTTCTAGTTGTTGATTGAAGCAAGATATTTGTAACTATTGATTTATTTTATTAAAATTAACTCTAACTCGAAAACCAAAACGCAACCCGTCCTCCGCTTTCCCTAATTCACTACCCAAATAACTAAAAATTCACTGCCCGCCTTGAGGCCGTACCGCAGTGAAAAATGCCATAAATGAGACAACTGAACAAATCTCAAAATATGATTACTGTAAAATCGTATGCCGTATCCGTATACAATTGGAATATTGCAAATATTGAAGATATATTTCAACTAAACCTTAGTTTAAATATAGCACCTTTACAAAATACACTATATAACACAATAGTGGCAACGGACGTGGGTCCGTTGCCACTGCTAACGTTGCCACCGCCTCCACCACCAATGACCACAACGTCGCCTCTTACTATTACTACTACTTCATTTATTAGTTCTACTTATTATATTTAAATACACGCTGCTTTCTGTATTTTGGTATTAGGTATTGTAATATATTTGTCTCATATTTATTTTTTTGAGTTTACGATATCAACTGCAAGATCGAATATTTAATATCTCAGAGAATAGCACGAAAAATATAAATTAATTAAAAAAAAATCTAACAGTTAAAAGAAAAACTTTAGTGACTTAATCACAGAAAAATCTGTTCAGAATAAAAATATAATTACTATTAAATGTTAATTTGTTCCATCTTCGATAACGTCATGGCTTTTTAGTATTTAATTTTGCCACTACGCTAATTTTCTTTTTTACTTAGCAAGGTATAATAGCTATAAGATCCTTTCAACACCTGCAAAGAAAAGTTTTCGATTAGTATTTTTAGTATTAAATGACTTATATAAAAAAAAGGCTTGCTTTATAGCTTACCGCAATAAAAGTAGGTACAGACAGAGTGGTGAATGGCCCAGCAGTGAAGATAATTTTCTTCCTCAGTTTTCCAATGAGAAGTAGCACGTTGCGACGGACTCTGACATTTTGGCACCACCAAGCACTTGCATATACTCCGTCATCTACACATAGACTCTGAAATAATACGGTGTATTTAATTAAACTACCAAATTATGGACAGTTCTTGGAGTAATTTTCGAATATAATTTCTATTTAAATGTATCGACTAAATATTCCCAATTCCAGAATTTCTACTAATTTAGCACTATTACAAATAGCGTTAAAATAAGGAAAAAAAAAAAAAAACAAAAAGTACAACCAAGTTACCATTAGTGATACTTCATTACTGTGCCAACAATAAAGAAACAGTTGGGCTATCAAAGCCAGTAAGTACTCTGCTATCCAAATTTGTTGCATTCGTGTAGTACCTTCCTGGAATTTTAATTTATAGTAAAAAAATGTTTAACATTTACTATGATACTCATTTTTTTATGTGAACAGTTGCCAAACGAGCAGACGGTTCACCTGGTGTTAAGTGAATACCGCCGCCCATGGACATCTGCTACGCCCAAGGGTTGCAGATGCGTTGACAACCTTTTGCAAATTGGGCTCCGGGCACCTCACTCACCAGACGACACGCGTAAGTATTATACTTCCACTTTACGCCGGTCACCTGTGAGGTCGTGGTACATACCCGGACGAACCTGTACATTCGTGCAACAGCCGAGGATGCTGCGTGGCCCTACCACCGGAAAACAATTGATAATGTAATCATTTGATATAAGAAGATAAATATTTATTTCAAATGAGCGAGTCAAAATAGAGCAAAAAGAAAAACATAAATTTTATCTCCATATGTACATATATATCAGGTGCCAGCAATCATTGAACTTACTCGAATCAAGTTTGCAAAATTTAAGTTTAAAATAGGACTTTAACTCTTACCGTCGTCAGTTGAACGGCACTAGCGCAAATCATTAGTGAACATATAATCACGTACAAAAACATAATTGGAGACAACAGAGAATTTAGAATTTTAGAGTACCTGTAAGATATAAATAAAATTGATTTATGCAAGTAGGTATAATATTGTATTAAATTGTTTTAAAGCAACTACTAACTTAATAAGGTTAACATGATGAAGGTGGCATTCACGTATTCTATTCTTAAATTCTGTAGCATCATTTTTGTTTATTTCTTCGTCAAATAATCGTTCGCAGTTACATTTTAATAACTTTAGTTGTCCAGCGAAAAACGACATCAAAATTACCGCATTAGAATCATAATGAGCTACTATACCACCACCGTAACAACAAATAAAAGAGTGTTCAAGAACCAAAGCCCAGTATCCTATTCCTTTAGTCTTGTCGAATGGAACCCATGAACTCATAATTTCTGGGTATGCTAAAGACCCATTGTTAATAATATCATTACTTGTAGGTGAGGAAATAAAACTTCCTAAAGGTGCTAAAATTAGTGTCAAGACAGTAGCAGTGACTAAACACCAGTAAAAATATGTTACTCTTCTTGAATAATTTATGTATTCTTTAACAATGTTTATGGTAGGTTCGTCGTTCATCGAAATTTGCTTCTTTTCCAATGTTGATACGTAGTCAATTATGCTCTTCCAATACTTTTGCCAGACAACAAATGTTCCTGCTTTCACCACGCATACCAAACTAAGCATCGAAACCGATAAATTACGCAGGGCCAATTCAAGATTTGATCTAATTATCCACAACTCAATATACTGGCTCAGTACAAATAAAATTGCAAATATATGTATCAAATTGTAGATGATCTTGCTGATTCCTTTTCTTTGTTGCCACATTCCACATGCTGTAAGGCCGTAAAGAGTAGGCCCCAGTAAAGGATGATCTGAATTTTCTAACGTTTGAAAAATATTGTATAACATTTGAACTTTATTATGATCTGTACTACTGAAAGTTTCAAACTGATATGACGCTAGAATTAAAGGAAAACGATATTGTACAACATTCAAAACGATATGTAATTTTAACCAACGAATTTATACTAGTATAATAACGTGAACATTTTTTCTACAATTGCTATGAGTACCTACTACAAAAATTTATTTTTGTTATTAAGTATTGTTTATTCTATAATTAATATTATTTTACGAGATTTTCATATGTTTTTGAGTGTAATGTTTCATGTGTTATGATCTGAAAACAATTACTCAAGGGTTTATAAGGATATGGACAAACAAACAAAAGAGTGAATTCGTTTTATGATATTAACACAGGTGAGCTACGTGAAATTTAATAACAAGTTCGAGAAGTCAAATACTTAATTCTGGACATTTTATAGTAAATTGTATCGTAGAAGAAAATTGGAGGTTTCGTTCAAAATATTGCGATTAATAAAAGCTAAATTTTATTGTTCGTTCCATTATTTTTATTTTCTGAAACAATACTTGTAAAAAAGGGTAAAGATATTCTGTCCTGTACCTAAGTTTTAGGGAAACTAGTTTTTCGGGGTCAACGACCCCGTTTTGCCGAATCCATTGGCTTTGGAACGGCAGCACCGAGTTTATGATTTGCTTATTATAATAATTTTAATTTCGATAATTTATTATCTTCAAAATGTAGAAAAAATATATAAAAAAGTTAAGCATTTCATTCGTTCTTTTTGAAAAATTTAAACTATGTTTAAATATTCAATTTCAGGTTAGAAATTCGTGACTAAATTGGAACTACCATGTAAATTTTCGACACAAAACCTATAGGGATTTAATACAGGTCACTCGAGTGGTTTATTTTATCCTTTACATGTTATAAAAAATTATGGGTTATTAACAAAGCTATTTTAAACAATACAGTATTATAACAATCCTTATCGTTTTATTAATAGTACTATGAATAAAAATTGAAAATTCAGGTCACTGTTAATATTTGAACGTAAAAACATACTTTATTATATTCTGGCTAAATATACAGACTTCCCGCTTTTTCTATCTATACTTTGGAAAAGTAAACAGAGGTGTGACATGGGCGGACATGTGTCTGAATAGTAATAACGGAGCGGAAACGTACACATACGTAACAGAATGTTTTAGATTTATAAAGAAATTGGAAAATTGGTACGAAATTGTAGGCTATACTGCGATACTGAAACAATGTATGTTTATTCTGTCATTTTAATTATAGCTTTAAGAAAATTTTAAGCAATCATTCCTTACAATATGTAGAACAGATCCAGTTTCAAAAACACAGTGAATTTATTTGGATTAGGTATTTAATTTCTCAAATTTCTTATGAAATTTACAAGTAACAATTTTGTTATTTGAAGTTTAGGCAGTGTTGGATGAATATTTTGGTATAAATACGTAAAGACAGAATATCTCAATTATGTCGCTAGATAGTCTAGCGACATAATTGAGATATTCTATTTATTAAAAGTAACAAAAAAGTAACAGCCTATACATGTCCCACTGCTGGGCAAAGGCCTCCTCTATACAGAGGGTATCAAGGCATAGTCCACCACGCGGCCCCACTGCGGATTGGCGGACTTCACATATCTTCGAAATATTTTTTTTTGTTATTATTTCGAAAATATGCAGTTTTCCTCACGATGTTTTCCTTCACCGCGTAGCACGTGATAAGACAGCACTTAAAGTTAAAAACTTCAGTGGTGCCGGCACCGGGGATCGAACTCAGGTTGCTCGAGTATATTGAATTAAAGGCGAGCGCCCGGAAACTGAGCTATCACGGCTCTATATACACACTGAGCCCACGGATCTGTTTATTACTTAATCGATTTTAACGTTTTGTTGTACTTTAGATTTTATTTATTTTAAATGAAGAGTGAACTTTATTTTTTTTACTCGGCTGGTCTCGAAGTATCACCCAAACGAAATGAAAGTGAATAAGAAAGCCAGTGCTATGAAATATACAACTCCACCTTCCCTTCTCATATTAAAAATTTTGTGATGCCAGGATGTAAATACCTCTTAGATCCATTCAATAATACCATAAAAGAAATAACAATAATCTGACATACTAATGCCCAGTTTCCGAAAGGCCAATCAAAGCAGCATTCACATAACACTATGTCAAAAATGATTAGCTGTTAATCTCTTGTTAAACTGCCTTGGGTTTCTGGAAGGTTTGTTCAAGAAAAATTAGCTAATCACTGTATAACCAATGATAATGAATGAAATGAATGATTTACTTCAACTAACTCTTTCTATTGTATAGCTGTCCCTTTTTAAACAAAACTTAAATTAATGTCACTATCCAGTCCTGTCACCGTGTGATTGCCAACCTAAAAATCCGAGCTATAATAAAATTTAATTTATATAAATACATGCAAAATGTCAAGAAAAAAACTTTAATAACTAAGATTTTTGATAAAATACATTTTTAACCAACGATTGATCGTCCAAATTGACAGATTACTTAATAAAACTTTTGACAGCTCGTTGACCACCGAAAAACGCTTTCAGAAACTCGATTTTATGTTGATTGTCCGTTAATTAGTGACTAATTGCAAATCAAAATCAATGTTGTTTTCAGACGTTCTAGCAACTCAGATCATGTTAAACAACCTTTGACAAGAGATTTATCGTAAATTAAAATTGATTGCGCTTTCGGAAACTGTGTGTAAATATGCACAGCTCAACAAATAACTTATAAGTCTACTAAGCTTGCTTAGAGCCGTAAAGTCTTATTTTCATTGTGTATTTACCTAATCCTGGAGACAATTTCCTGTAAAATCCATAATAAAAAGAAAATGCCCTCTAGGATATGAAAGGCCTATTAGGTAATTTCTACTGTGCTCGAGCTTCAATAAATGAAGCACATTTCAGTAAGATGACCTAGATGGCGTTACAATAGAACTGTTGATAAATTTAATGAAATCATTTGAAATAGTTGCAACAAAATATTGGAATAAAATTAAATTATGTTATTACAGTTGATTTTTCTCTATAGAATCTCTATGAAACTATAAAATTATGTATTTTTATCTTAAACCACTTACTACTTTCGAGGAGAAATAATATCATGAACTGTAACTGTGTGTGGACTCATTTGTAAGCAACAAAATTTATTTATTTAAAATTATATCATCGTCCTTTCACTAAATTCCGCAAGATGGCAGTTGAATAAAATTTAATAGGAATTATTTTTTAATTATGAAAAGACGATTTTTAAAACTAAGAACAAATATGTTTATCTGAAATTGGAAATATATTGTAAAATTATTTTCGTCTGTAATTATACGTAGCTATCAGTATCTGTTAATCCTAATAATACATTAATATTAAACGTTATTTTTATCGATAATTGGAAAACCGTTCACAAAAGGTAATTTTTGTAGGATACAATGATTATATTGTATGTGCCAAATCGTTTTCGACCCAAAACCTATAGAGTACTTCTGGTTGACCTAGAATTGTCAATTTTAGTTAAAAGCAAGGTCTCACAGCACAGGTAAAGGAAAAATCTGAAAAATAAATAAAGTTGAAAATGAGGGTAAATTTTGGTACTTTTCATAAGTTTTCGAGAAAATCTAAAATTGCCCATATCTTTTAATCGTGTCGTGTGTCGTCTCCTTGCTTTTTCTACACTTAATAGGGATTATAGACCTAAGTATTTGGTATAAATTTGGACATGCAAGGTCCACCCGTTCCGGTGAATATCATTGGTGACACACGGACAGACAGACGGACAAGAGAATGATCTTATAAGGGTTCCTTTTTACATTTTAAGGTACGGAACCCTAAATAAAAATTAAAGAATTGGCCATAAAAAAAATTCTTTTTTATGTTAGAAGAGTAAGCGAACTGGCGGTTCACCTAATATTAAGTGATAACCGCCGCCTATGGACATTTGCAACACCCGTAGGATTGGAGATGTGATGCCAACTTTATATATATATATATTTATATATAATTAAAAATGCCACAGAAATATAACACCTCCACCACTTCACGCCAGTCTTCTGTGATGTTGTGGTACTTACTCAGACGGACCTGTCCATTCGTGCAACAGTGAAGACTATTGCGCAGCCCTACCACCGTCATTATATTATTTTTTTATTATGTTCTAAGCGATTCTTCTTCAGCCACAAGATAATCTTAAACTCGATAATAGGTTGAATTTTAAACGGGTAAACTAGCTACTTTTTGCTTTTATACAATAAATTGTATATTCGACATGAAGCCGTGCGCGAAGTTCGGGTTTTACTGAGTTTATCAGATTAAAATAAAATTTATTGCCTATAGAAGTCGATTTAAAGCAAAATTTATTGGCACTTTTTGAAATAATAACCATTCAATTGTTTTATATGAAGTGGATAGTTCTTGCAATCGACATCCCGATAACCGAGGATTCAACAGAGACAAGGAGGTATTGAAAAAGATGCTATCCCTTACTTTCTTTAAATAAATTCCTTAGCAACACATTTAAAAAGGCGAGCCTTAATGACGTGTTGCAAATGTTCAGCAGTGAATTTTCTTATATACCTCAATACTACTGTGCACGACGCAACAGTCTTCGCTGTTGCACGAATAGACTGGTCCATCCGGGGAAGTATAACGCCCCAACAAAATGCCGGCGTGAAGTGGAAGTGTTATACTTCTGCGTTTCGTCTGATGAGTGAGGTAACTGGAACTCTTTTTATTAAAAGGTGACAACGCATCCGTAACACTACGGGTACTGCAAGTGTCCAATGACGGCGGTTATCACTTAATGTTTGGTGAACTGCAACGTTCTCACATAAAGGAAAAAGTACCTGGAGGACCTTTTTTTGGTAAATCATGTATTATGGAAATAAAAAAATAAAAAATAAAGAAAATTAAAACATGTAGAAAAGTGAAAGTGAAAACATCTTAAGTGCAGAGATTAGCAGTATAAAAAACTTTAAAATTAATAAAGAAAATGATCTGGTATAGAACAAAAAGTAAAAAAAATAAGTGTGTAAATGATCGTGATACGAACCGCGGCCGTCTGTTTTGGGGCCGCCGGATTACCGACCGAGCTATTATAACATTTTTTTTGCGGCGAAATTTACTGTCATATTCGAATGATATTTTTCATTCCCTGAAAACAGGGATAAAAAGACATTTTCTAAAAATGAAACGTAGCTAGATCGATTTTTCGCCCCCGAATCTACGCACATACTAAATTTCATGAAAATCACTGGAGCTGTTTCCGAAATTCCGATTATATATATATATCAACTAAATGCTGACAAATTGCCGGAATTATTGGTTATAATTCATTAAAGAAAAGATGCTTAAAATTTATTTCATCATCATCATCATCATCATTTCAGCCTGTTTGAGTCCACTGCTGAACATAGGCCTCCCCCACAGTCTGCCATGAATTACGATCCTGAGCCACCTGCATCCATCGACTTCCCGCACATTTGCACAGGTCGAAAAAAAATATTTAATGAGAAACATTTATTAAAAATTGAAAAAATAATTATGTTGTTTTAACAATCGATTTGGATTTTGGTTCTCTGGTTCTTTTAACTGAAAGATTTGCTTTAATGTAGAAGAGCATTTTTATTAACATAGCGCCGTTTTTATTAATATAGCAAATATTGTACGTAGAAACATTAGTTTCCAGTACAATTTTAATTTTATAAAAGATTATTATATAAGTTTTATTATTACATGAAGAGTAAAATAGGTCAGCTTCATGTCCTAATTTTAATAAAATTCAATAATCACAAATTAACCAAACAGAAATTTACCAATTAGGGGTTATGTGGACTGAATTTATGCTGCTATTTAAAAATTATCGATGGTAATGTATGTGACAAGGATGAAGAATACTTGGAGGTGCTAATGTTGTGAAGTAACATTTTCAGTAAAGTCATAAATGAGAAACAATCTTAAAACCATTCAAAAATAGCGAATATCTATAGGCAATGCAATTACTTAACATCGGGTCTCTTGCTTCTTCGAAACCTTCTTTTTAAAAGAAAAGCAGCTAGAAGCAGCTAAATGTTTGTTGTTGAAACTAAATAAATATTCATTCATAACACCTAAGAAATATTTTTTTAAATTTCTCCGATTAGTTAATATCATGCTTTAGACCCAATTTTGCCTCAGGTTGTTAGTGAAATAACTTGTATGTGGCTTTCCTATATCAAGATTATTACATTGTCTTTGTGAGATAAAATAATGATTGTATGTGAAGGTGTCACATTTGTTTTTTGTGACCATGAATGTCTAATGAAATGTTTATTGACATATAACGCTCTTATGGGACGAAATTTTATCGCTTTATAATCACCGTTAAATATTTATGCGCTTACACCATCCGTTTATGCCGTTTATCGTTTCTTAGTATTAGAACACTATTTAGTAGGTACATATTAACAGTTTTTATATTTATTGAACAGGTGTTTTTGGTTTATCTTTTCTTAATTCCTCCCTTTTCCGCTGACATGGATGGATCAGGGCCCGTCTACTTATTAATAAAATATTTAATTTACTCCTTTTGTTGTCAAAGCTTGACACGACGAAAATTATGACCAATAGTCATGTGATCCCGAGACCTGTTGTTGCGAATGTCTATGTTTGAGGTTGTGCAGGAATACACCTACCTTGGTCAAATTATACAACTGGGCCGGTACAACTTTGAGGAAGAGGCCAGCCGAAGAATGCTGGTCCACAAATTCAGCGGGCGATGGAACGCGCAATACTTGGGGTTGGATGCGGGCTGCCCAGGCCTGGGACAGTTGACGCGCTTTGGAGGAGGCATACGTTCAGCAGTGGATGTTATTGCGATCGTTGTTGTTCAAAGCTACAAAAAAATTGAGTATGCCTTCGTATAACACTAATTTTATTTCTAAATTATTAATTCCCTACTCTTTTTTTTTCCTTATTTCCAACGGTTTCCGTGACATTTTATCCTAGGTGCTTTTATTTTAGGTGTAAATACAATCTTGAATATTAGTACGTGTGCGTATCTAAACCATATGGATATTTCTAGGCATGCGTAAAACATCACGGCAGAGGAAGTGAGCCCGGAAATAGTTATATGCTTCGGTGACTTAGTGCCGTCCACTCGTATTTGCCGATCTGCTCCATTATTATTCACGAACATAGTAGGTATTCCACATAGAGCAGCTTGCTCCTAATATTTTTGTTCGTTTCTTAAAAATTGTTAAATATAAAATAAGATAATAATTCAGTGATTTCACAGAAGTATCCAAAGTTAACAATAATGTCGTCTCTATGTAAATTATTGAAAAGCAGTTTAATGTTTAGACTGAAACCTAAAAAGCCTAATGAAATGTAATGTAATGTTTTCAAAATTGTCGGTTTTAAAACAGATTTTCACTAGGTACAAAATAACTTGATGTGGGATATAAGCTTAGCTAAGAAATGATTGTAGTCTTTTTTATTTAATTGATCATTGTGATGATAATAATCGATCAAATCGATAATTCAATATACAGGGGATGCGATAAATATGTTTCAGAGGAAAAATAAGGAAATTGAAAAATGGTGCTGACTCTCTATAAATTAGACGCTAGTGCACCGGTACGGTCAGTTTTAATGGTGCTTCATGTGGCAAAAATATCTAATATCCAGTTTATAAACGTTAACACTCTGAAAGGTGAGCAGTTCACCGAGGAATACTTGAAGGTAGTGAATACTCATTTATTTTTTGACCACGACAACATTTTAGCTAAACAGTAAAAGACGGATAAAAATCTTTGAAACGCCCCCTTTATGTCTAGTAAACGCAAGCCATGTCCCCTAGTAATTCTTTTACTCTGCAATAATTTAACAGTTACTTTCAAACAAGTTATTTGAATAAAATTTGCTTCGCGTGATAATGGAAGAATAATATCACTTGCAGATGAATCCACAACACTCTGTTCCTACTTTGAAAGACGGTGACTTTGTCATTTGGGATAGGTGAGCATAACTTTGTCATATTATATTCATTATTTCATTTCATTTTGGTAGAAAGTGTAATAAATTTATTTCTTTCATGACTTTATTTCGGAGCTGTGCCATGTTCTTCAATAAAAGTATTATTAGACATGAAAAAGCTTTTTTATTCGCGCGTATTCTTCCAGTCACGCAATTTCTGTGTACTTATTGAAGAAGTATACTCAAGACGATTCACTATATCCGGTTGAACATCAAAAGAGGGCTTTGATTGATCAAAGGCTACATTTCGACAGTGGCATACTTTTTATTGCTATGCGTTCTGCCGTCGTAAGTATTGATATTCAAAGCTAGATTTCAAAAAAACTGCCCTCGGGTTCGCCAGCTATGCAAATATTTCAGCGTTAGGAGATTTTAGTTCGCACTGGCTGCGTCCCAAGCTGTTTCAATAAAAAATATAGCTTTGTATTTGTTAATTGAGTCAATGTTAAAAAAGTATAAAAACGATTTAAATCAATGAGGAAAATAGTAAAATTGTAGATAGTATCAAAATTAAGTAAATTTTGTTTGTTTGGAATCTTTTATATTAAACTATATTCTGACTTCAAAATGTATTGACTGTTAATATCTACCACATACTGTTTTCATACTAAGAAACGATAAGAACTTGTTATTTTTTTTTTTGTATAAATTGTTTTAGGATCCTGTTGTATTTTTGAATGAGAGCACTTACAGGCCTGAGGCCTTGATGAAGATCAAGGCAGCTTATGAATTCACTGATAAGTTCTTGACGAGGAACTGGCTTGCCGGTGACGAGCTTACTTTGGCAGATATTTGTTGCGTTGCAACCATCAGTTCATTGAACGAGGTTATGCCCATAGACCCCAGTTTGTAAGAACCAAATTATAATTATACACGTTTTAAACTCAATAGGGATATTAGGGAATTCTATGTATTGAATTTTATTGTTTCTTCATTTTTATGAGACATGTAGTTAGAAACTGTTTTCAGAACTGTTAACAACGGGTCAAAATGTCTAAGAGTTTTTCCATTTTAGAACCCTATCCATGGGGAACTAAAAATTAAAGTGTTTCCATTGTAAATTGGAAATAGAAACTAGAGGGCAATAAATTATTCCATATCTATTAAACTAATTATTAATTATTTTAGGACACATTTTTACACAACGTTCTCTAGTTCTAATTTAAGCAAAGCTTGTGCTATGGGTACTAGATAACCAAAAGACCTAATATAAACACCGCGATATCGGAAAAACACTATGTTAATCACACATTTTTTTCCAGTTTATTGTGTAATTATGTGGGTATTCTATAAAATTGATTCTCAATTACTCATAAAATTTCACAGGTATCCTAACTTAGCGAAATGGTTTGAACGTTGTAAGCAGCAGGATTTTTATAAAAAAGGGAACGAACCAGGATTGGAACAGTTCGGAGCTTTGCTTAAATCGAAGGTTGCTCAATAATACCCATGCAGGCTTTTAAAAAATAAATTAGTAATTGGTAGCTAGCATAGTTTGTACTGTACTATGTAGAGTACTTAGACATTAGTGCTTTAAAAATAAAGAAGGTAATAAAGCCGTTTTAATTTATTCTATATTAGATATAACATCCTCCTCCTTAATGATGTCGGTTCAATCTTCGAGGATATGACTTCTTGCAGTAACTTTGTATACTTCGAGAATACTTACATTGTAATATCTCCTTCTAACGTTTGCAAAAAGAATTTATTATATGTACCTTCTATCCAAAAATCCACAGCACTTAGTTACTTTTCACGCTAGTAACTATAATATTTTTTATTAAATCGTTTTCTGTGCAATAACGTTAATATCAAAATTTATAACTAACTTATATTTTTGCTTTCTTAATTTTAAAATAATTATTGACATGTTTGTCTATTAGAGAAAGTCGATATATATATATATGTATATATCCCAAAGTTTTTAATGTTTTCCAAGACAAATTGTCTCACAAATAATATAAGGAGGCTAAAATTGACTAATTTAAGTTCATTAGCCAACTGACTAAGTGGCTAATGACTCCATCCCGTGCCCATCTGATTTAGGTTATCGGAAATGTGCATATAGTCCGGGGTCTTCGGGCCCTTTTCACTATTTATCACTAACAAGCAGATTTTTGTGAGTAGCTTCATTTTGACGAGACACCCAACTTTTATTCTTACTACAATTTTGGTAGCCAACAGGGGTAGCAGTGGTGAAATATGTTGATCTGACGAATTTCAAAAATTTATTACTAACTGAATTTTTCTTTTTAATTTCCAAGATAATCATCTAAATGAACCGAGGAAATGTTTGTCCTACAAAGTTAAAGTTTTATCAAAGAGTCCCCCCTCTCCAACATGTATATGTATTAAAGTAACACGGTCATGAAAAGTAATGACCAAACTAACCAGCTGACTTTTTTTCTATTGGTTAGTTAGTCTACGAGCAAAAGCTGTCAATGCCACAAGACATTTTTTTATTAGTAACTGTAGAACAAATGTATTATGTGATAGCTTAGTATGTTTTTCGTCCAAATAAAACAATGTCCTACAAAAAAACAGGTATTTACTGCTAGACCTACAAGAATTGTCATTTTCGTTTTCCTATTTGTAACAGCATAAAGTGACAACATACAGTATTTTTTGCAATTTAATTAATCTTATTTTGCAGTGTAAATAAGTAATCTGCGTTTTTTTTATATACACAAAAAACATTAATCCATCGATGTTTTCTGGGACTTTGTTGTAAAAACATATGCATTATCCCATTAAAAAAATTACTTAGACTACGCAGTCTAGTTGTGGGTAGAATTCATTTGTTTGTTCCTAATGTTTATATCATGCACATTATCATTTGTTGAAAATTGACCCTTAATTTTATCGACATAATAACATTTTCAAGTATGTACTGAGAACAAACAGTCAATATTTTACTCTCTTTGAACAAACTTCTTAGTGATTCTCCATTATTCGATTTGCGAAAATTGTTCTGGAAGACGGAAGGACAGTTACTGCAGACTGGTATGTTTACTGTTGTTTGACTGTGTTTTTAGAAAATATTCGACAGCACCGTTTTCAAAGCAGGATCACCTTCCACGACAATGCCTCAGCATACTCCGAAACGAAGAATTGAAATTTGATTATGGCAGGAATTGTTTTTACAAGCAATTCGTATTTTGTATGTATCATTTTCTTTGTGGGTTACAAAACAATACGAAAATAAAAAACCTGCTTCGTTCCATTGTGTATCCGGGACATAAATAATATGAAAAGTTCAAGATAAATGCCTACTTTTCTATATGTAAAATCTAAATATAAATTTCATGTCCTCAGTTTGGTCAACAAAGATAAAGAAATTAAGACACGTATGTATCGAACACGTGGGGATCAAACAAAAAACATACACTTTTGATGCAATTACGCAAGCTGTGGAGACTACCAGAAAGCTTTTAGAAATGCTCTTAGCGCTAGTAATTTGGCGTTTCCTCAAAAGAACTGGCTCACTTTCATCCTCGACATTTAAACATGGGTCACACTAAGAGTTTCTGGCGCTGGCCATTTACATAAACAATATTTGAAAAGTAATAACATTCGAAAATGGAACTCTTTGGCTGTCAATTGTTTTTAAATTGTGACACTATTTTAAAAATTGCGTGTCTACATAACATGGATTCAACTACTGAAAATTTTCGTAATCAATCGTAAGTCAATTTGCTTAAAAGCAAGGTCTTATAGCACAAGTAAAGAAAATTCAGAAAAATAAAAAAAATTTAAAATTAAGGTAAATTACAAGGTATTGCGAAAATCTAAATTTTCCCATATATTTTTATCCTATTAACTCAGGACTTTGATTTTATACACCTAATATTAGGAGTATTGACCTCAGTATCTGGTATACTTTTGAACTTGCTCGCTTCATGCATTCCCACGGACAGACAGACGGACAAGAGAGTGATCTCATAAGAGTTCCTTTTTTAACTTTTTAGATACGGAACCCTAATTCGAAACGATCTACTTTTATTTTACATTTTTCCAAGTGAATTTGCGTGACGTAACTCTCAAATAACATTTGATAATGAATATTTATCGCCTTTGCTATTTAAATTTAAGGGCTATTTTTCAATTTTAGTTTCAGTGGTAATCTTGAGTGTTCAATGTTAAATTGAAATGTGAGTGTTATAGATTTGGAGAGAATTGACACTAGTTCAAATCTAGGCAACGTCGATAACGCTTGTCGTTTTAAGGTTTTAACTGCAAATGATACAAATACATAGGTAATTTTAACAAGGGCATCATATTTGCGACACTTACTTACATCAGCTGCCTCGGACTTCGTCCCAGTCTTGAGCGAAGTACCCCTTAGATGACTGATAGCAAAAGTGTCTGTACAGGCAGCAACCCAAACGAGGGTTTGCCTGTCTCTTTGCAGGCTCGTGGCGTAATTCAAGGAACAATGATGTAAAGAAGACGCTACAGATGAAGTCGTTCAGCGAATCATGATCTGGAAAACTGGCCAGCATATTTTTGATAATGTTACTTCTCTCACTCTGCACTATAATTTAAAATAACATCATAAACGTTATTCCAAATTGTCTGGTAGTTGCCACTTAAGACTGCAACAACACACTGGTCGGAATAATAATAATGTATTTATTTACATTGACATCACGAAGACATTGGTGTGGTTGACAAATCAGTGCTCCCACACGGATTCCTTAAGATATGCGTATTAAGAATATTGAACAAGTTTGTGTCGTCATATTAATTATATGTCTATATCATCTTTGCAACCTTGAAGTGTGTACTTATATAATAAGTGAACGTAATTCTGTTATCAGAAGGAAATGAAACGCTTAAGCTGTGAGAATATATTTTTGCCATAATTGTGTTTTTAGTTCTTTTTTTTTTTCGGTAAATAAACATCCGGTTTCCTTAATTTCATTGAGAAATCTAGCAGTATCTGTAAGTTCTTCCTAAGACAAATATAACAACATTTTCTTGGGATTATCTACGAAATTGACAGGCCATTTCCAAGAAAAATATTCTCCTGACACTATTTGTAACGTTCGCTGTCTTTCGATCCTTTTTCCCAGGAGATATTATTTTGTAACAAAATACGAATGGTTTCTAAATTGACCTTAATGAAATATAGTTACGGTCTCAAACAAATAGTTTGCTTCACATTTTTAAGGCGTTTAGTATTGTGTGTATCAAGGTTAGCTTTACAGGTTTGAAAAAAAAATAATATCACCATCATCGCCTCTGATTTAAAATAACCAGGTCAAAATGGTGTTTAGTTGGTCTCCTGTACGCGGCAAAAGGAGGCAAATATAACATGTTTGCATACATGTAACACTTACAAATGGAAACCATTTATCCACATGAAAAATAGTCGCAAACGATAAAATTAAGGAGTTTCGTGGGACGGTTTTCGTCAAGGTCACGTCATTATTTTATTGTATTGGATCGCTAAAAATAACTATACCCTTCCATTCATATATACATAAATGCATAGTATTACTTCTATATACATTGCTTATATAAGTATACCACCCAAAGATACCTAACTAAATGGAAGTCCTAACAAAAATAAAACAGTTTAATATTTCATGCATAAATCAACTAAAATTATCGCCATCTGCAATCGCATTTCATGCAAAAGTATCTTATCAAAATGATGTAGAGGTATTATAGATTGAGTAGCATTGTAGTGTAGAAATACGCTACCAATAATATAATCACATTTCCGTTATTAATAAAATATGCTGACGATGAGTGATAATACACAAATATTTTACTAATAGGCGTGTAGAATATAAAAAAAAAAACTTAGAAATTGTTCAAATTGTAATTTGTCGTGTGGAATCTTAGATATTAGTCTTCATTTATGATATTAAATGCAAATACGAGGTAGATATTGCACTAGCGCACTGACACTGAGGTAATAAAATTACGCTAATTGGTGTAATTATATTGCAACTTTATAGACCATTCCATATCATACGTTGTATATCATCTGTCACATTCACTTAAATATGTCACATAATGTAAGTGGACTTTATTTTAAACGCCGCACAGTATGGACATGCCTCATCTTTATCAAAACAATGGCCTTCATGACTTAACTTCGCGAAAGGACAATAGTAATTCAAAATTTAAATACTAAATGACAATTACTATTTCACTAGTTCAGAAACCAATAAGAATATTTTTCTATGCACAGTTCGGCCATATATAATATCGATGACAGACATCTATTGAGAGGTGTCAGCTATCTCTGTCTAAATGTTTGGGTTAGAAACGGTTAGAATGAATTTGAAACTGAAACTTTAACTTCGTTAAGAGTTTTTAATTCTTAAAACTTATTATATGACGTAAATTGGACATATTAATATTGAACATTCCTGTTCCATAAATAAACATTGAATTGTACAGCCCGCTAAGTACATTTTAATTACGAATTCTCATTAAAAAATAATTATTACAGTACTTAGGTTCTTTATTTTAATTACAACAGCGAGGCACAACATCTCATTTATATAAAAGTTAATGTATTTGCCGTAAAGACAGTCATAGACATACTAAGACACCGGATAACGTCTTCTGTATTAATAAAATGATACAAGTCTGCCATTGAGCCCGCATCACGGACAAACTTCTATACAAATTTCGATTATTATATTATATATTATATTGATATACAAATTGTTTGGTCTTTTAAGTTATGAAGATTCTTTAGTTTTATTTTTTTTACACTTGCAACATTATCTAAATTAAAATGGAAAACATTGCCACATCTGTTCCATTTATAAATCATCCATTATCTCAAACCGGATTTAAGTGCTTACTCACGGTGACTCGCATTCTCGCATCATATATACAGAATAATACGTCGTGTTTAAACGTGTCAGAGTTGTAGCAGTCGATTGTAGGTACGTTTATTAAATATTATTTTTGTTATTGTAAAAATTACCCATTAATTTTAATTTAAAGAACGATTACGAGGTAAATTAAGTTTTGAAATCTATTTTATCTCGGAAAATCTGTATTTGCTTAGCTACTTAATATAAATGTCATATAGTAGATAAGATAAGTACCAATAATATTTTCCGATTTTTTTCCCGTTATGTTTCAGTCACAGCAGTAGTATAATTGTAATAATTTCTGTAATTGGTTGTTTTTTAAAAATTAATGCTGTACTGAGGACAATTTGTTATCACCATCCAACACGCAGCTAGCATTTTAAAATAGACATGACCTTCGAAAATGTGACTTAATAGAGCTATTAAGTATCAAAGCAATTGTTCATAATTTGTTTTTTTTTTGTTCAATGTCAAATTAAATTTTTTCTTCGTAATTCTTTAAATTATTTGTTTCTTTTATTATAACACCTAATACAACTTATTTGGTAAGATAGATTCAATTTATCTGTTTTTCATGAACTTTATTAAGTCGTAAAGGGGACAGAATTTCTTAAGAACTTGTTAGTTAGTGGCCTTTATGCCAATTTTTTACGTTATTTTTTTCTTACGGCATGACTGAGATATGTTAAAAATGTCACATATGTGTTGTCTTAAAAAAAGTTTTTGTACTTTTAATTTGGCTAGAAGTCTAGCCTAATTATTCAAAACGCTAAAGCGAAGACGCGAAATTCCTCAATTCTTTATCTTTTCTATAAATTTTTATTAAAGAACTAGCTGACATATTAATTTTCTATGTATTAAAAGATAAATAAAAAGTAATATATTTGTTTTTCATTTAAGAAAATAAAGTAAAAACAAAATTCATTTTAAGGAGTAAGTGGATGTGCGACATTTCTTTTTCTTGTCAGTCCGTCTTTTTATGATATTTTTGTGTTGCTGTACAGCCAAACGCTGCTTCAGCAAGCAAACGTCCCAGACCCCAGGGATAGTCGTCTTCAGGCAAGCCGATCGCATCTTTATATGACGCCTTGTGTATATTTTGAAATGACATTGGCCCGGTGACATTAATCAACAACAATCGTAGATTCTACCTGCGATTGTGCTTGTGCAATCAATGGTGAATTGATGTAATTGTGGCCGCAACGTGCATCCACGCGATTGGCGAGTGCGCGTTCAGCGTCCACACTATTGATATCGTCACCGCCCATGAAGTAGATTTAAAAAAATTATGTTGTTCTCTTGTCATTGGGTTTAAGAGTCGTGAGAGCTCAGTGTCCGGGCGCTCGCCTTTAGTTCAATATACTCGAGCAACTTCCGTTCGATCCTCGGTGCAGGCATCAATGAAGTTTTTAACTTTAACTGCTGACTTATCACGTGCTCCGCGCTGAAGGAAAATATCGTGAGGAAACCTGTATATTTTCGAACTAATAACAAAAAAAAATATTTCGAAGATATGTGAAGTCCTATGCCCTGATACTTTTTTTTATGTGAAAAGTTGCCAAGCGAGCAGACGGTTCTCCTGATGTTAAGTGAATACCGCCGAATAATGTTTAATATGTCCATAAAAATAAGAATCAATTTTCAAGACTAGTAATGTGCATGATATAAATTCTTGGGACAAAATAAATAAATCCTAACCACAAGTAGACTGCGTAGAATAAGCAAATCCTTACGGGATAGTGTATATGTTTCTACATTTAAATCTCAGAAAACGTTCATTGTTCATTCATTAAACATTCGTAGCTACATTTAAAAACCTGTTAGTTACCTGGATGTCCTGATGTTGGTAGATGGAGGAATTTTAGCATAATGTAAATTGTTTTTTAACTAAAAATGGGAGAGTGGAGGTAGGATGATTTAAATTCGGTGTTATATGTATTTTTGTTGCTGACTTAAAAAAATACAAAAGTTAAAAATATGGAAAAAAATTGGAGAGGGACACCCTAATGACCTAGCGGTATGAAATATACTTTACGATCAGTTCACAAAAATACCTTAAAAATTTTATAAAAATCGAGCCATTTCGTAGGAATGCAACCACAAACACCATGATTGAAAACTTTTATATATGTAGATTTTTATGAATGAAATATTCTTTATTGCACACACCATGGTAAAAAGGATAGATTAAAAATAAACAATTATGGGTTGTACAACGGGCGGCCTTATTACTTATAGCAATTTCTTCCAGGCAACATTTGGATGGACATAATATGTAAGCTATAAGCTGTCATATCTAGCTTTTATGTAAAAGTTTAATGAAAACCTAGAAATTTCTTAATTCAGAAGAAGCTGGACATAATGTTTTTGTACGCCATATTTCATGACTTTTGTGTAAAAAAAGCATTGTCATCTATAAAAGTCATGATGACAATGCTTTTTATAAAAAAAGTCATGATGATGATGCTTATTTTTGCAAAAAAAAACTTTGTGCTTACGTACGGAGTCACGTACTTTATCAGGTGATAACAGTGTTATGTTTTGATTACGACAAAAATTGACGCGATAAAAGATATCGTAATGAAAACAAATGTTTATGGAATGGAATCAAGTCCGAAGTATTATTTATCAGAACCGCCATATCATCAAGGACTGACCCGTTGTACAGTATTTGACATTAAAGTTAATAACAATGATCAGACGATCGCATGAATTGAATTGTTTGTTTCACTATTTCTATAAAAGAAGCAGTTTGAGAATTTTTGTTTACATCCGCACTGAAGAATCAATATTAAATAAATATTTATTTAAATAGACGCTTGCGCGCCCTTATGAATCGTCAAATTTTACATCGAAAATTATGTATATAGGTTAGTAAGGTACCACCGGTTCGGAAAGCAGTTTCTGTTGAGAAGATACCGGCAAGAAACTCAACAGTTGCTCTTTTTAAAGAGATTTTTATAACCATTATCCACATTCTGGCATACTTATCGAGTAAGTAAAGTATTAAACATGACAGATAAGTCTGCTAGCATATGGCAAGTTGAACAGTTATTATTACACGCAATAAATTTTGACATCAAAAATTTACCCATTAGCGATCCCAACCCTTAATCTCAGATCAGGTAGTGCCATCATATTATCGTCATTCATGGGCATATAACTATAGCTGTTAATAGCCAGATGTCAGCAATATCGCCAGATAGAGGCTATTTTCAAACGATCATTATACCATCGTGATTAATGCCTTCTTGGCATAATTATAATGGAACGCTCGAGAGATTCACGTTCCACGTCTCTATCGTGGGTATATCGTATCTGGTGGTATCGTATTGGGCCGTCAAAAGAGTACACATTGGCATCAAAAGAGAAAAAACTAATAACTTGGAAATAATTGAAGACTCCGTGGCGCAGTTGCCAAGGTATTGGCTTCGGCGTCGGGAGTCGTGGGTTCGATTCCCACACGGGACAACTATTTGTGTGACCCTCAGATAGTTGTTTCGCATCTGGGTGTTTGTCCGCGTGAAATTTATGTTTGTAAAACGTCCTTTACAACACAGGATAATGTTATCCTAAAGTAAGGGCAGCGTTTTTTTAAAAAAAAAAAAAAAAAAAAAAAAAAAAACTTTATAGTAATGATTTTCGATAGTGCTAAGCATGAGTCAATGTTACCAGGTTGAGTTTTACTAATATAGGTTATACCTTATTTTATATCGATTAAAACTCTTATCAGTAGTGTGCTGATTTGCCATTTGACGAAATAAGTGTGAGTAGTGAAATTGTATGATGCTTTTCGTCAGCACATGATATATTTAGTGAGCAAATATTTTTGTGTTGTTTGGTTTCAAAGTCAAAGTATATTTATTCAATATAGACCTATTTTAAGCTCTTATTGAACGTCAACAAAAATCTACCACCGGTTCACTAAACTAGACCTGCACAGAGAAGAACCGGCAAGAAACTCTGCGGTCTTGTTCTTTTTGTTATATATATATTTTTTTAATGCAATTATACACACTTATTTGGGTATAAAATCAGCAGCAGCCAGGGGTCTTGCAAGTGCAGAGCAAGAGTCATTTCCAAACATCCTTGTCCTCTATGTATTCTTGGATATTATAGTAGGCTCCTGCTAATGGCAAGGGCCTACTATAATATCCAAGGTAGCTTTTACAAATTGTTTGAAATTGTTTATACTTAGTTGTTTGTGGATGTCACCTATTTTAGTGTAAAAGTTGATGCATCTTCCAAGAAACGACTTTCTGGTTTTAGCCAATCTAAACCTCGGTACTTCCAGAGTGTCACCACGGCCCCGACGCGATGTGGATTGTTTTTTCGTAAATAGGTGGATATTATTACGTACATACATGATGTTCTCAAGTATGTAAAGCGACGGGAGCGTCATAACGTTTATTTGCTTAAATGTATGTCGTAGCGACTCACGTGGACCCAAGCCATAGACGGCCCGTATAGCCTGCTTTTGTAATACAAATATTGTGTCTAGACTGGATGCGGAACCCCAAAGTAAGGCACCATAGGACATTATGCTGTGAAAATAAGCATAATAAACTAATTTTGCAGTTTCCTCGTTAGCTAGCTGCCTGATTTTGCGTATGGCAAAGACGGCAGCGCTCAATTTCTTAGCTAACTTATCTATATGTAATCCCCATTGCAACTTGGAGTCAACGCTTATTCCAAGAAATGCTGTTGAATCCTCAAGGGGTAGGATTTTCTCATCAATAGAGATTCCTGATTGGTGACACAACTTTGAAAGAGTAAATCTAATACAAAATGTATTGGAGTTCAAAAGTAAGTTATTGGTAGCAAACCAGCCAGACACAACATCTAGTATTTCATTTGGTTGTTCCAGTGCATCATCATTCCTTTTAACCTTAAACAATAATGAAGTGTCATCCGCAAACAAAACAATTTGAGACCTTTTTTCCACTATATATGGCAAATCATTAATATAAACTAAAAACAGAAAAGGGCCCAGGATCGATCCTTGAGGAACGCCCATTTTTACTTTTGACAATATACCATTTATGATTACTTTTTGTTCCCTGTCAGTA